TTTATTTGTATATAAGCTGAAAACTAATACAATGTCACTTTATTTGTATAAGCTGAAGAAAAAATTACAAAGGCACATTATTTGTATATATGTTGAAGAAACAATTACAAAGGCACTTCATTTCTATATATACACTGACAAAAAAATTAGAAAGGCACTTTATAGCTGAAGAAACAAATACGAAGGCACTTTATTTGTATGTACGCTGAAGAAACAGACACATAGCCACTTTATGTGTAGTTGTGTACATATGCTAAAGAAACAAATACAAAGACACTTTATCGCTGAAGAAACAAATAAAAAGGCACTTTATTTGTATGTAGTGTACACTGAAGAAACAAATACAAAGCCACTTTATTTGTACATATGCTAAAGAAACAAATACAAAGCCACTTTATTTGTACATATGCTGAAGAAACACATGCAAAGGCACTTTATTTGTACATAACGTGAAGAAACAAAAACAAAGACACTTTATCTGTATATAAGCCGAAGAAACCAATACAAAGACACTTTATTTGTATATATATGCCGAAGAAACAAACATAAAGGCACTTTATCTGTATATAAGCTGAAGAAATGATTACAAATACAGTTTGCTAAAGAAACAAATGCAAAGGCACTTTTTGTTTGTATATAAGTGGAAGAAACTAATAAGAGTGTTGTCAGTGAATGTAAGTGTGCAGCTGAGTTGTTCTGGGCTGGTTCTGGTTCGTTGTCCTTGGCCTCCCCTCCTCCCCTCCCTCCTTCCTTTAGCCCCTTCTCCGTCCAGCTCCTTTCGCCACACCACCGCTGTGCTGCGCCCAACATCAACTCCGGTGCTCGCCCCACAATCAGGTACCACCTCCTCTGTTAGAATAAATCCGAGGCGCTCCGTTGATCTACCGAGGACCAAGCAATCACACGAACACGACACCGAGATTTGTTAACGAGGTTCATCATCATGGCTACATCCTCGGGGCCTGACTATGGGCCCTCCTCCCCGTAACACCGTCACAATACCGCACCCCGGCCGCCCGGGCGCCGGCACACGCCGCCGGCTCCCCCGCGTGCCCGTGCTATTATGTTGGCATAGGTTACATCGTGTGTCTACCCCCGCTATATATGAGAGGCCTAGGATACAAGTGTCCTACTTGGACACGACTCCATATCCTGTCCACACACCGTACGACTTCAAGTCCAACTGTAACCTAACTTGTACAATAATATTCGACACAACTCTAACAAACTCCACCTTGGCAAATATTCTCCACCACCTTGAATTCGTCCGTGCGTCGAGCCTCCATGTACATTGGACTTGAGATATGCAATGAGCACCGCTGCTACTCTCAGACTCCATGTGACTCCACCTGCAACTGTAGTCCCTTCTCGTCTTCTTCACAGTCAACCCTCGAGCAAAATTAAGTTCCTCATTACTCTATTTTGTGCTCCCAACTTCCGAGATCCATTCAACACTATCACACACCGATCACTGTCTGCGTGAAAATGAACAACTCGCATATTGGATGCCACATATAAGAGTTACCTGAACTCAATGCCACCGCTCTTTCTTGACCGTCTATCTGAAACTTGAAGGAATTTCACCGTCGCCCTGTGTTACCCTGAGTCGAATTCACAGTTGTCTCACCCTTTTCCCGGATAGTCTCTGACATGTCCCACAGCTATAGCACTCCGCCTCCTTCTGTCTTGTCATCCGCACTTTGCCATGTGCACTGAACACCACAGAATATACGGCCATGTACTCTCTTTGTTTTGACAATTCCAGACTTCCCGCCACTTTCTCAGATTCTTCATGGTCAACTCTTGTCCATCAACCGGCACCGATAGACCCAGTCACCAACTCGAATCTGGTACTCGTCAACACTGCTTCAGCACCCCCTGCACACTTTGTCTGACCGCATGTCTCACCATTAGTGCCTTGGCCTGTCGCTGTGTCCCGTGCTTACCGCACGCCTCGCCGCTATCGCCGTGTCGAGCCTCTGCTGTCCTGGTCGAGTCTCCCAAGGTCGCGAACCCACACCACTCAGACCCCTACTGCAGAGAACCACCGATCATCACCGACCGATGCCGAGTATCACGTCTCCATCAGACCACTGGTACCCAGTCTGAAACCACATGCCTCTCGCTATCCCGCTGAAATAGGCTTCGACTCTCTGTTAACTTACGCCGTAGCCCCTCCATCAGCACAGAGTGAAGTCGTCCATCAGACTCCAGCTCCACCTTCAACATGACTCCATGTAGCTGGCCATGCTACCCTCGCGCCCTGTCGACTGCAAGCTCTCTTGTGTGCACCGTCTTGAATTAACCCTGCGCCATAGTCTGTCGAAGCCGCACAAGCCCTCAGGCTTGCACCACGTGTTTCCACGCCCCAGAAGTCGGCCACCATCAGCATCACGCTCATATGTCATCGTCGCTGAAATCACCACCGTCTTCTGCTTTGACCGACATCTCCGTCGATCTGTTAGACAGTCCAGTCCGACCCAACCGAAAATATCCGACTGCAATCATGCTCCACCCCGCGTCGTGTCCGCCTCACACATCTGTGCATTGCCTTGACGCCATGTGCATGCATGATCCCTGCCACGACGAGCTCCAGACTCCTCCGAGCCATATACGCACGCCGCCATCCTCGTCGCATGTGCTCCATCTTGATCAACTTGGCATTCCGCAATTGACATTGATCTCTCATGGATATGCGACTCCGCGTCGTTATCTCCTGCAGTGCATTGACCGCTGCCATCATGTAACACAGAGAAAACCCCAAAAAACGACATATCAGTGGCAGCCTCCCGTGCCCAAACATGGCACAAGCTGACCCAAATTTCCTTTTTTCTTTTTTCTCTCAAGCACCCGATGGCAAGCACACCACATGTGACGCCCTTTTTTCAAACAAATCTCTTACGCCTTTGCACTTCTAGCATCAGCCATGCCACGCATGCATATCTGACGCACAGTAGCTCACCTAGGCCTGCGCCTCGCTAGCGCTCCAGGCTCCAGCTGCGTCACCTGCCGTGCCCGCGCGCCCACCGCTCACGTGCACGTCGCGCTGGAGACCAGCTCCTGGAACGTGGAAACCACGGCCTTGGGCCTGCCTGGCACCGCTGGGCCTTGCGCCACAGAGTGGGCCGCCTGCCCTAGCCATCTGCACGCTGCCGCCTCGCCATCGATCAAACTAATCGATCTGAATGTGGCAGTGGATGCTTCCGTGCACGACACATACTACACCTTCCCCGATCGATTGAATAGATCTTCTCGCCACTGCCGTCCGCTAGGTCTATCTGCTGCTAGCTGGATGCATCTCGTCGAGCGCCGCGTGCTCCCCATCACTTTTACCTTGCCAATAATTCGTAATCATGTGTCACGCAGTCCGACTCGATCGCTTCTGGACGGCTTTCATGGCCGTACATTCGATCCGATCTTCAATTGCTTCCACACGATCAACACGAAATTTGCAACCTCTAGATCAACAAACCGCAACCTCAAATCAAACCTTGCTCATGATACCACTTGTTAGAATAAATCCGATGCGCTCCGTTGATCTACCGAGGACCAAGCAATCACACGAGCACGACACCGAGATTTGTTAACGAGGTTCACCATCATGGCTACATCCTCGGGGCCTGACTACGGGCGCTCCTCCCCGTAACACCGTCACAATACCGCACCCCGGCCGCCCGGGCGCCGGCACACGCCGCCGGCTCCCCCGCGTGCCCGTGCTATTATGTTGGCATAGGTTACATCGTGTGTCTACTCCCGCTATATATGAGAGGCCTAGGATACAAGTGTCCTACTTGGACACGACTCCATATCCTGTCCACACACCGTACGACTCCAAGTCCAACTGTAACCTAACTTGTACAATAATATTCGACACAACTCTAACATCCTCCTCCTCTTCTGCCCGTCTCTACTACTGCAGACAGTACAGTCCCTCTTGCTCCAGGCTGCATCCACTGGCCATGGTTTATGTCTCGCAGCGATCTCTCTCATGGTTTTCTCAGATCTGTAAACCAGCCTACAACTGCGATCTGTACAATATTTGTCATGCCAAGCTTACTCGTCACTTACTTGTTATGTATATGTTAAGCAGGACCCCTACTCTTTGAAATTGAAATGCCATGTCTAGTTTGAGATATAGATAAAAGATATAGATACAGATATAGATATTTATATATTGTTATAGATATAGATAGAGATAGAGATAGATATAGATAGAGATAGAGATAGAGATAGATATAGATATAGATATAGATTACTAGGCACTTTTCATTTGTATATAAGCAGAAGAAAGTAATATGTTGTGTTCTGGGCTGGTTCTGGTTCGTTGCCCTTACCCTCCTCTCTTCCCGTCCCTCCTTCCTTTACCCCCTCTCCATCTAGCTGCCGTCGTCACGCCACCGCCGTGCCGCGCCCAACATCAATTCCTGTGCTCGCCCCACAAGCAGGTACCACGTTCTTCTCATCCTCGTCGTCCTCCTCCTCCTCTCTACTACTGCAGACAGTGCAGTCTCTCTTGCTCTATGCTGCATCCATTGCCATGGTTTAGGTCGGGCATCGATCTCTCTCATGGTTTACCCAGATCTGAAAACCAGCCTGCAGCTGTGATCCGTACAATATTTGCCATGCTAAGCGCCTAAGCTTGCTCCCCACTTACCTGTTATGGGTATAGCAAGTACAATCCCTACTGTACTGTGGAAATTGAAATGCCACATCTAGTTTGAGAGTAGCTAATTGGACTGCTTCTTTCCACTTACTCGCCACTTACCATCACGTACACAGTACACCTACCACATACTACCATGAAAGTACCCGAATTTATCTTCTGTACTTGTTTTTCTTCACTTGAATGAGTCAGAGTTGTTTCATGCATAACTCAAAATTTCTAGTTTCTCGTTCTCACATGCCGACTATTCTCTAATTTATCTTCTCCAGGGAACAAATACCGGCCAGGAAGACGACAACAACACTCTAGCTAGGCATCCAGGCTCCAGATTAACAAAATGGAGGGTTGTGCCTGTATCGAGCAGTTCCGGCAAACCGACGGGCTCCTCATCAAGTACCAGTACATCTCGGACTTCTTCATAGCCCTTGCTTACTTCTCCATCCCACTCGAGCTGATCTACTTCGCCAAGAAGTCGTCATCCTTCCCCTACAGATGGGTGCTCATCCAGTTCAGTGCCTTCATAGTCCTCTGCGGGGCCACCCACTTCATAAACCTCTGGACCTTCACCAAACACACCAGGACCGACATCGTCATGACGGTAACCAAGATCACCACGGCTGTCGTGTCCTGCGCGACCGCCCTCACGCTCATCCATATCGTACCTGATTTGTTGGGCGTCAAGACGAGGGAGTTGTTCCTCAAGCAGAAGGCTGATGAGCTCGACAGGGAGATGGGTCTCGTACGAACGCAGGAGGAGACAGGGAGGCATGTCAGGATGCTCATCCATGAGATCAGGAGCACGCTTGACAGGCACACCATCCTCAAGACTACTCTGGTTGAGCTCGGGAGGACGTTGGGTCTGGAGGAATGTGCTTTCTGGATGCCGTCGAGGAGCGGTTCGAGCCTTGAGCTAACTCATACCATGCACCACCACATCCCCGTGGGCTCTTCTTTGGAGATTAATCTCCCTGTTGTCAACCAAGTCTTCAGTACCAACCGGGCGATCATAGTGCCACATACTTCTCCTTTGGCGAGGATCCACCCTGTTCAAGGGCGGCATGTCCCACCCGAGGTGGCTGCTGTGAGAGTCCCGCTGCTGCATCTTTCAAACTTTCATCCCGAGCTTTTGGCGAAAAGCTACGCAATTATGGTTTTGATGCTCCCATCTGATAGTGCAAGGAAATGGCTTGCTCATGAACTCCAGCTCATTGAGGTCGTCGCCAATCAGGTTGCTATTACACCTTCCCCTGATTTTCTTAAAGAACACCATTTATCTTGTTGATTTAAAAAAACTCTCCAAAGCAGAATAATCAATAATATAAAGTTTGTTCACCGCTGCACGATGAATAATTGATACGTGAAAACTGCAAATAACAAGAAATGACTACCTATACATCAGTGTACTGCATGAAACCATATGCAAGTCTAGAACACCTTGTACATCTTCAATGGAGTCGAATGTAGGATAGCATACTCCCTGTGACAACCATGTTTGTTGGTTAGGAATATGTCGTTATTAATTTGCTTAGAGGATATACCATATATGTTCAACTTCTAATACATGTTAAGTCAAGCATAAGTTATTTCCTTAGCTTGGGTATCCTAGCTTAAATCTATTTATAATTGCACAAATGAGCACTGTGTTCTAGCTACACATCAGTAAGAAGAGGAAAGAAATACAACAGTATTATATCAGGAAAGATGTGTAGCTAATAATGTTTTTGTGATGAACATAAATCAACCTTCTCTGTAGTTTTTCTTTTTCTGCTTTTCAGTCGAAAAGCCATGTTAAAGAGTTGTAAGTTGTAACAGTGTGATCGACTGAATAACTGCTACCGGCACTTTTCTTTCTTTCAAATGAACCTGGGCGTTAGGCCTTCTCTATGTAAAAAGAATGTACAGTCCTAGAAAAACTATTCTGTATGCAGAAAATAATGGCCTGCATTAACATTCACAAAAACTAGTTACCTATATATTGGTATACATGGTGTACTAGCATTCTACACGGGTTAAAAAAAAGCATTCTACAACTTATTTTATGAGATCATATATGTACTCTTTTCAGGTAGCTGTTGCCCTCTCTCATGCGGCAATTCTTGAAGAATCAATGCGTGCACGTGATCTACTGACGGAGCAAAATGTCACCCTAGATTTAGCTCTGCGAGAGGCTGAAATGGCAATGCATGCTCGCAATGTCAACAAGGTGGGGGTTGAACTCATGCAGCCTGAGGACGCAGACAACGTCGCTACCATCAACTCATCTGCTTCTGCAGCCAAGGTGCACAACGCCGAGCCATGATCGACGCGTCTACCCCAACTTCGCCCGACACTGATGCGTCACTTCTACCCACCAAGAAGTACGCCTTGATCCAAATCGTACTCTCTAGTTGCCTTTGCTTGCACCCTATAGGTGCCCCAAAGGCCCAAACCGTTTCCTTTGCTGCTGCTGCGACAGCACTATCTATCTAGTTTAAATTTGGCCCTGCTGTGGCAATCTATCTGGATTTGTGCTAAGTTGTGCTATTTATCTAGAAATGTGTGCTTACCTTGTGGTGCATTCGATGACAAACACAATACTATCCTTGATCTTTTGGTATGTTGGTGGCCTGGGCCAGCCACAGCTACAGAAATGCACACAGGGGTGGAGCCAGTATTTACTATTTAGACAAAACTACCCACCCACCCACACACACAAAAACTGTCTCTCAAAACTACCCAATAGTTTATATCCAACTATCATTCACATTTCACTTTGCCCAGACACACTTTTGTTTGCAGCTAGAGTCAGTGTCTAGCTATAGGTAATATAGGTTTATAATTAATTTCCCATGTGTCGAGCGAAAATCTACGCAATTATGGTTTTGATGCTCCCATCAGATAGTACAATGAAATGCCTTGCTCATGAACTCGAGCTCGTTGAGGTCATCGCCGATCAGGTTGCTACTACACTTTCCCCTGATATTTTTAGAACACCATTTTGGCTTCAGTTGATTTTTTCTAGAAGACCTCTCCAAAGTAGAATAATCAATAATTTAAAGTTTGTTCACAGCTGCACGATGGATAATTGATCTGTGGAAACTGCATGCAGCAAGAAATAGCTAGCTATACACTCCTGTAGTGCATGAAACCATATGCAAGTCTAGAACACTTGCGTACACCTTCAATGGAGTGGACATAAATCAACCTCTCTGGTTTTTCCTTTTCTGTTTTTCAGTCAAAAAGCCATGTTAAAGAGTTGTAACAGAGTGTGATCCTCTGAATAACTGCTACACAGGCACTCTGTTGTCTTTTAAATGAACATGGCCGTTAAGCCTTCTCTATTCTAAACGAATGTACAATCCTTGAAAAACTATTATGTATGTAGAAAGGAAAACGATTGTTTTAAACCGGACGATTACAGCGAGACGCAAGCCTCATCCAGCGATTAACACGCGTCTAGGCTGGGCCCAGCGCGCCGCTCCCCATCTCGGCCTTATCCCACGCAGGGGAAGCCACAGCCACGCATTTTTCTCGCTCGCGTCGTCTTCTTCACGCTAGTGCATCCCCTCCTACAGACCACCCCCCGTCTCTCTCCCCTGTTGCCACTCCATGACCGTGCTTTGCTCTACTCTCTGCCCAGAGCTCCCCTCTCTTCCTGCTCTCTCTCACCACCAAGCGACGAAGCGTTGTTGCTGCAGGCGGGCGATGTTGTGCCGCGACGACTATTGCTGCCCTTCAGCACTTTCTGGGCCTCAAACAATGCTTTCCTTATTGCAGTTTGAAGAAGAAGCTGGTGGCATTGAGGGGATCAGAGTGTGCAGAAGTGCACCATCAGTATCACACCTTTTATTCGCTGATGATTCTCTAACTCTCATGAAGGCAAACGCTTTAAATGCAGCTTCCTTACAGCATGTACTAGAAGCCTACTGTGAAAGCTCAGGACAAATGGTGAGTTTGGCTAAATCCAGTGTGTTTTTAAGTCCTAACACTCCAGTTGTTTCTAGAACAGAAGTTTGTCAGGAGTTACATATTGACACTGAAGCCCTATCAGATAAATACTTGGGACTCCCGGCTATGGTTGGGGCTGACAGGAGTGATTGCTTCAGACACTTCTATGACATAATTAAGGAGAAACTGAAAGGGTGGATGGAAAAGCAATTATCGATTGGAGGTAAAGAGATTCTACTCAAGTCAGTAGCTCAGGCCATACCAGTTTTTGCTATGTCTGTTTTTAGCTTGCCCAAAAGCCTTTGTAAGGATATTACAGATTTGATTGCACAATTTTGGTGGGGAGATGATGAAGAACACAAAAGAATGCATTGGTATACTTGGTGGAAACTTTGTTACCCTAAATGCGAGGGGGGCATGGGGTTTCGAGACCTCTATTCGTTCAACCTTGCGATGCTCTCGAAGCAATGTTGGCGGTTGATTACTAACCCGGATTCCTTGTGTGCACGAGTTCTGAAAGCTAAATATTTCCCCAATGGAAGATTACTTGAAGCTACCTTGAAGAGTGAAGCGTCATTTACATGGAAAATCATAATGAAGGGCCTAGAAACTTTTAAGTTGGGGTACATATGGAGGATAGGGACTGGCGCAAATGTTAATATTTGGAGGGACCCCTGGATCCCATCGAGTGAGGACCGGAAAGTGATTACAAGGCGCGGACAAACTGTGTTATCCTCGGTCAATGATCTTATTGATCCAACTTCAAGAGAGTGGGATGAGGATTTAATCAAAAGCATATTCAACCCAGTAGATGTTTGAAGGATACTAAAAATTCCGCTGAATTATGGATCGTTTGACGACTTCATTGCATGGAATCCGGACCGTAGAGGTTACTTTACAGTAAAATCTGCATATCAAATACAATGGACTAAAATTTTTCAGGCCCGTGCAAATGTATTGGCTCGTCCTGGGGGATCAAATACACCAAAAATATGGAGTACAATGTGGAAGATCAAAGTTCCACGGAAGGTTCAGATTTTTTGTTGGCACATTCTTCATGGAATTATCCCGCTAAAGTCAATCTTGACTAATAGGCACATTGGTTCAGATGGGGCATGTCCAATCTGCCATCAAGATGCAGAGGACATTCGACACCTCTTGTTTGAGTTCGATCACGCAAAAGAGCTCTGGAGTAACCTGGGCATTGCAGATTTGGTGGAAGAGGCAAAGGAAAGAGATAAATCCGGGTCTGTGATCATGGAGCACCTCCTTTTGATGCAAAATAAGCCACTGCCAATTAAACCAAATTTGAACATCAAGCAAGTACTTGTGGTGGGCTGTTGGTTCTTATGGTGGATTAGACGTCAACACACACATAATGGTAACCCTCCACCCCCCATGCGATGGCATATGTCAGTCTTGGCAATTACAAACAATTTCCAGGAAGCTAATTATAAACCGAGTGGAGACAGGGAAAGGAGGTGGGTTAAACCTGGCCCTAGGTCTGTGAAATTGAATGTTGATGCAGCTTTCTTTGCTGATGAGGGATCAGGAGCAACAACAGCGATTATCCGAGATGAAAAAGGTAATTTCCTTGCGGCTCAGTGCAAAGTTATTGATCATGCGGCAGATGCTATTAGCACTGAAGCTTTGGCAATGCGTGATGGTCTAATACTCGCAAACTCTCTCGGATTCCCCCCGTGTTGAGGCAGAGTCAGATTCTTTGAATGTTACCAATTTCTGTGATGGTCAATCCAGATGGTGGGATGCGGCGACAGCAATATTCGTGGAGTGTGTGGATGTTGCTTCTTCTATCGGGAAGGTTGTCTTTATGCATTGTTATCGCTCGTGTAACAAAGCGACCTATGTGCTAGCTAATTTCAGTTATTGTAATAAGGTTTCTTCTAGTTGGACAGTCGAACCTCCGGAATGCCTTATGTCCGTGCTGGTAGATGATGTAATCCCTTCGTATATAATTAATAAAGCTAGCCATGATGGCCTTTCCTAAAAAAAACAGCTCGGCCCTGGCCTTTCTCTGTCTTAACCCAAAAAGAAAATATATAGCCTAAAAAAACCAAAAAGAAAATAATCCCCAATCCCGTCCCGACTCCCTACGCCGCCGGTGCATTCTCGCCGCGGCCTCGTCCAAAAGAGGCGCTCTCGCCACCCCCCGCGCGCCCTGTCAGCTTCGCGGAGAAGCCGCTCCGCCCCCCCGTGGCGTCACCCTTGTCTTCGCCGAGGAAGCCCGCCTTGCCGCCGGCGATGGTCGCCGCGCAGGAGCCGAGGAAGGAGTGCCCGCCGGACCTCACGAGCGGGCTCTTCAGGGCCGACGACTTCTGCACCTACAGCCCCAAGGTGAAGCCCTGCTCCCGTGCGTTACTTTTTTCGAGCGGGCTCTTCGCGGCGTGTTCCTCTCGGCTTGGCAAGAGCAACCATACTCAGATAACTGCATATTGCTTACTTTAGATGGCACTGTAGACACGCGGTCAGGCAAGTTTAGCTGTCAGATGGATATACTAATCTTGGAATTCAAATTTCAGAGTTGGTATACTGTAGTAGCAGTAGTAGATATCAAACAACTTACGCCCTAGAGTGATTATTGTTCATCAACATGTGTGACTATTTTCTGCTTGGGATTTGTAAATTCAGTTATGTGGCAGCTAAATAGTTGATCCTTGATTTATGTCGCAGCAACTGAACGGCGAAGATAGGCTGAGTACCCTGCCCGACGATCTTTTACTGTCCATCTTGGGGAGAGTCAGTTCACGTGTGGCAGCAAGGACAAGTGTGCTCTCTACATGGTGGAGGCATCTTAGTTGGTGGCTGCCTGAGCTCAGCATCAATGTCAAGGATTTCCTATCTGCTCCGTGTGCTGACCCTATGGAGGCAAATGATATGGAACAAGCTATGGCGTCTTTAACCAAAGCAACCAGGAGTTTGTTGGATAAACAACAGAGAGAATCCAGTATCTCAAGTTTGCACCTTAACCTCTATTTGATCGGCAATTTCCTTTGCGAAGTTGGCCAACTGATAGGTGATGCAATCGACAGTGGTTTCTTGAAAGATTTGGATCTCACCATTCTTGATGAGATGGAGCCTCTCGACTGTAGTGAGGAAGAGCTGCAACAGTGAGCTCAAGACATAGATGCTTTTTTCACTGCCTACCCTAGTGTCCTCCTCTGCCTCACAAAGCTCTCTCTAAAAAATGTAGGCTTTGACAAATTGGACATGCACCATCTCCTGTTTGACTGCTGCAAGCAACTGACGCATCTAACTCTTCATCATTGTGATACTGGTTCCTTCTCTCTCTTTAAGATTGATGCACCAGGCTCAAAACTCCGTATTCTAGAAATCGAGAAGTGTCGCTTTCTG